GGCGATGACTAAAAAGCATAGCTCAAAGCTATGACTAAAAAGCCGCATGGCTAAAAGTGATGACTTGAAAGCACATGCCTAAAAGCGAAAAACTAAAAGCTAGACGCAAAAAGCATGCTAAAAAGCATGCTAAAAGCCATGACTAAATAGCACATAACTAAAAAGCCATGATTTGATGGTGTCCTGAGTATTTAAACTGGGCTTTTGGACACATCCCAAATGGTGTTTTGACCAATTAGATAATTAGTTGCTCACAAGTCCTTTTAGTGTCATTTAGATGCATATTTACATGGAAAGGCAGTTTCTGTGCCATCCTGTGGATGTATGTGGACCTGTTCTGTGAAGACCAGAGAGGTTAAAAAGGTCTCCTAAGGAATCTCAGTCTGTTCTTTGTCTTCTAGGTGGGGGAAAGTCAATCCAAAGAGCTCGTGACCAGTGATTACTATCACTGGTTTACATGTGATGGTCACGCTGTGCATCTCTTTGACCATTAATCTTGATAACTTGCCCCAAAATTGACAATCTCCTTGGAATTGTCAATAAGTGTTCTTTTGTTTAAATGCTGTGAGCTACTCAAAGCTGCTAGTTGGTGGACTTGCTTCAGGCTTGTGGCGCCAGGATCTGATTTACGTAAATCCTGTGTCTTGGGCCTTTCTGTGGAATTCGGCTCCTCGTGTTTCAACCATGTTCTTGATGGAATCTTAAATTGTCTGATTCGGTCTGATACCCTACAGCAGTGAGGATTTAACATTAGAATGAGGAAAAGAGCCCATTTATGTGCATGCAGTGTAGGCTTGCCGTGATAGACGGTGTTGACGGTGATACCGTTAAGCCGCAACACCGGTTACGTCACTTGCCCACCGCGGCACCGACCCCCACCGTCGTTTTGATTTTTTATAGAAGTAATTACAAGCTATTTAAAAGTGAAGGAAAGCGAGGAAAATAGGAAACGCCCCCGCCCCCGCCCCCACGGTGATATCGGTATCACCGGTGTTGTCACACGTCGATTAACCGGTGGGAAAATGTCCTCACCGTCACAACCCTAATGCAGTGTTGTGAATCCTGCAGAAATTTACCATGAGAAGGCTGTTGTATCCGAACAAGACCCTGTGTATGTGTGTGTTGAGAGGAATCGTGTCCCTGTGCTCTTTGATTCAGTCGCACATTGAGACCAGACTGCTGGTACTCATTGCATCAGCATCATTTGATCACAGACAGCCCTGTTCACGGTGCTGCACTGCTGTGATTTATGTGCTCTACAAGGACACATTATTTTTGCTTTGTACTTACTGTGTAGCAGATATTTGTGTGTTTGCACTGCACTGTCTCTTTGTTGGTCTCCATAGGCCTATGTACTATCCAGTGTGTGTGTGTGTGTGTGTCAGTCAGTTTGTTGTGTTCATGAATATTTGGTAGGCTATACTTTTGTGTGTGTGTGTGTGTGTGTGTGTGTGTGTGTGTGTGTGTGTGTGTGTGTGCATTCATTTTCATGGCCCAGGTGAGGTTTGCAGACATGTTGGCAGCTGTGTGTCGTCTGAGAGCTGTCATAGCCAATCAGGACACAGGGAACATAACCACCTGCCACCCAGTCCCCACCTGGCCTCTGATCCCGTGTGTGTGAGAGAGACCGAGCGAAAGAGAGAGAGAAAGAGGAAAGTGAAACTCCAGCTGTTGTGGTGCTGTGCTAATTATTACCTGCTGTAATGATGCCAGCAGAGAGGAGTATTTATATTGCAGCTGGGATATGTTTTTCAACAAAAATGTCTGTAATTAGAGTTTTATATGTTATACAGATCCTAATATATTGGATTTAAGTGAGAATAGGGTCAGTCTGTGTCAAGTTGCACAAACTTCCAAAAATATGGAATGACTTTAGAAAGATGGCAGCATCACTGTTATTTTTACACAGAGATCGGTTGGTCTGTGAGTCAAATCTGTTGACTTGACTGTTGTAGCGATCTTTGTTGCATTAAATGCCAATGGTGACAGTTAATGCAGTTTCCATGCCTCATTCAGTGAAGCCTAACTCAAGAAGTATTAAATATATCTCAGTAGTGCTTTTTTCCCATTTTTAAACTGTGACCATTGGCATATAATGCAACAAGGATTGCTAAAGTCAACAGATATTACTGATAGACCTATCATAATTTCCCTCTGTAATTTGGCTCAAAATCTCAGGTGAAAAGTGTCATTTTGACCCCCTTTCACAAAATAGTGGATTACTCAGTAAATATTTATCCATTGCATTTAATATTTTGGCATTCTTCTTCATTTACATACAGTATGTATTCCACCAGGAAAAAAAATTAGCAATGTAATGACTGGGAAAGGGCTGAGAGTATGATGTTTTGTCATTATTTGATTAATTTGAGAAACATCACATGTGAAAGAGTGCTGCTATACTGATGATCAGCTTAGGTTGTGCTGATACGATCCAAAAGCTCAAGCCGAGTTAGTTTTTAACAGCTGTGACCATCAGTGTGCATCTTCTGGGTGTTTGTCTCTTTCTTTTCACAGAGACAAATGCTTTTGTGGCATCAGGTTAGCAAAGAGGGTGGCGCCTCCTTCAGGGGTCTTAAACAAATGAGAGCAAATTTGGTTTGATTGACATGAGGGGAAGCCATAATTTGCCCATAGTGTCACGACTGATCTGCATCTGTCTGTGATCTTGGGGAGAGACAGGAACAGCACTTAACCCTGTCAATCAGCCATGCTCCTGAGGGAAACATCTCAGACTTTACAGAGGAAATTACTGCAGGGCTTCCTGATGTATCAGGCACCTCTGGGTGGTTGGTAGAAAGTTGTGGAAGTTGTTTTCCTATAGAATGTCCTTTAAAATAGTTATGTTTAGCACTGGAGTTTTTAGTGTATAAAAGTGTGTAGAAATTCTAATCAGACTACACATTTTCCTATATTTTTCTAGTGTTTGCTGGTTTGAATTGGGAAGAAAATGTTTTTCTATAATATTTTTTTATTAGATTAAAATATATGCTACTATTCAAATGTTTGGGGTTGACAAGATTTTTGAATGTCTTTGAAAGAGGTGTCTTATGCTAGCCAAGGCTGCATTTATTTGATCAAAAACACAGTAAAACACTAATTGCAAGGGGTGCAAGAAATATTTTTTATTATTATCAATGGTAAGAACGGTTGTTCTGCTTAATATTTTTGTGGAAACTATAATATTTTTCAAGATTCTTTAAAAAATAAAAAGACTTCTGTAACAAAAAATCTTTTGTAACAGTTTAAAAGTCTTTACTGCCACTTTTGACAAATTTAATACATCCTTTGCTGAATAAAAGTATTAATTCCTTAAAAAAGTCTTACTGACCCCCAAAAATTTGAACAGTAGTGTATATAATATTTCATATAATATAATAATTTTCTCCACTCTAGTCTATTATTGTGGTGTAATATTTTTCAGAGTAAACATAAAATAAACTGTGGTTGGTCACTTTACATAATCAGACTCTTGGCTAGAACAAGCTTCTTTGTGAACTGGACCTTTTGCTATTTAGTTGAAATTCTGTGAAACTACTGGTTGCCTCTCTGTAGGGAATCTGAGAACTGATAGACAGGATGTGGTCTATCATATGATCTCTGATGAATCTGCTACATCTGTTCTCTTACACCAGAGCTGAACCAGTCTGCTTTACCAACAGATGGAGAGTTTCCCCATGTACTCTATGGAATTACTCAGTGGAGGCTCTGTGTTTAGGTCCATTCTTTCATTCCAACTCAGATGATGCTTCTGTGCCTCTGAGATTTCATTACTACCATTGCAGAGTAAACAACCAGCGAATGATTCTAATCAAACAGCAGTACAAAATCATAATTTGCATCCTACGACGGTGGATGTTTTTCCGATTTACCATCACATTTCCACTTTTTCTAGCATAATCATCTGAAAAAATAAACAAGTCTGAGGAAAGGCAGGCATGAATTACCATCAACCAGCATGCTATTTCTTGTGAAGCTTGTTGACCAGTGGAGGCTTTCTGTTTAAGCTTGTAGTTAAAAGGCTAGTTCACCTAAAAATGAAAATGTCAAAATTTATTATGATGTCATTCTTAAAAAAAAAAAAAAAAAA